CCGCCCCCCCCGCCTCACCCTAACTTGTAACTAACACACGCACCACCGTTGACACCCTCACCAGGCCTCTCCCCCCGCCTCGCCGCTCTCGCGGTGCAAGCCGACTCCTGGCGACCGTCCTGGTCAGCGGCCCTTGCCAGGACGGTCCGAGCGCCGCGCTCGCTCCGGTGAGCGAGCACTACAGTAGCACACCGCACCTGCACCGCCTGTAATGGCACCGGCACCAGCCTCCCCAGCCCCGCCTCTCCAACGTCGCACTCGCCACCCTGCCCGCTGCCGCCCCGCCCGTCGCCACTGCCACTAATCTGCCGCTCCGCAGCCCGCTCCACCTCCCCGCCCGCAGCGCCTCCCGTGCCGACGCAGCCTAGAGACAACAGAGCTGGGTCAATATCACCGCGGGAACGCCTCCTCTCGACGTGGGACAGAGCCTCCTCCACAACGTCGAGAGAGCGACGGCCAGCGTGGCGCGGCGCAACGTCGCGCGGCAGTGGCCGCAGTGGCTCGAGGTGGGCAGCGCCGGCGACAACGAACGCGGAGCGCGCGGCGACAGCGGTGGCGAGAGCCGAGGGACGTGACTACACCCTCGAGCGCCGTGCGCGCGCAACCTCGTCCGCCAGCCACGCGCCGCACCAGCGCCACGAGCGACGCCTCGAGGCACAACGTGCAGCCGCCGCATCCACCGCCGCCGCCGCCGCCGCCGCCGCCGCCGCCGCCGCCGCCGCCGCTGCCTCGCTCCACGGCGGCGGCGCCGCCGCCACAGACTGTAAGCACCAACAGCCGGCGGCTCGGCACGCGGCGGCCGCCTCCGGCCTGGGGGCGCGTCGGCAGCGCGGCGCACCACCTCGCTGCTCGACACGCGCCGGACCTGTCATGCGCGGCTGCGCCACCGCTTCCTCGCGCGGCGCCGTCGCCGCCGCCACACCGGCCGCTTGCTGTGAGCGCCGCGCTGCTCGGCCGCACCCGCCCGTGCCGGCCGCAGCTGCTCTGCCGTCAGCGCCGTCGCCGTCACGGGCCAAGCCGCCGTTGTCGCCGCAGCCACGCCCGTCGTCCTCGCTGCCGCCGGTCCAGCATGGCTGACACCGCCACTACCACACGGCACCGGCAGGGTGAGGCGCTAGAGGGTGAAGGGTGCATAGAGGTGAGGCGAGGCGGCACCTAGGGGCAGTGACCCCCGTGAACCGGCAAGCCGACGCGCCACCGCCGGGCGAGATGGAGGCCGAGCTGCGACCCTCACAGCTCTCGCGGCATGCGTCCAGAGCTCGATTCATCTGCCTCGCCGCTCGCTCGCCGCCTTTGTGGGACCTAAAGAGAGAGGTTCTGAGCCGTCGGGCGGCGCTGATGGTGGCCCGCGTGGGTGGAGCCCGCGGCAGCTAGGCCGCCTGGGCGCGGGGGGGGCGGTCCGGTGCTTCAGAGGCAGCGTGAGCGACGGGGGGGCGAAGGATGTGAGGCGGCTCGCCTGCAGCGCCCACCTGCTGGGCCGTCTGGAACTGCGATTACGCCTCGGGAAATGCGAGATCATCCAGAAAATGTCTGCAGACCTCAAACCGATGGCCTCAAAAAGTCGTTGTCAGCCTCCGATTTTCCGTGTCGCCCGACTCGCCACCTCACCGGCCCGGCGTTCGGAGGCGTAAAATCTTGGTCGGCCGTTGGGCCGGTGCCATCGGCCGCGGTCGAGTCGACCGTGCCCCGCCTTGGGCACGATGGACATGTGACCGGCTCCGGTCAAGATGTGCCCCGGCATGGCGGCCGAGGCTCTCAGGTTAGGCGACGCGAGCGCCGAGAAGGTGGAGCAAGACCTCGCGTCCCACATGGGCTCGCTTTGTTGGCAGGGTTGGATTTCGGTCCTTTGTGATGCGTCAACTTCAACTTCCGGAACGACTCAACAGGACCCAAAGACGGGGGAGCGACCGGCCTAGCTAGCAGCCGGCGCGAGGAGGCAGTGTGCCGGCACAGTCGAGCCGGAGCATCGGGTTCTTGATGCTTGTGGGGTCAAGTTTGACCTTATGTGGCATAATATGCAATAATAAGGCTATGCTGTCTCCCGGCTTTTTGAGATATGATCCCTCAAAGTCGAATTATGGTTTACTGGTGACCATAGTAGCGTCTGTCCTGTTTGCGATATCTTCACACGAATACTTTAAAGTCTCGACAATCACTAAGCTGCTTATATGGCACCGCAGCGGCTCCCTTGGGGATGCCTGAGGCCACCCCAACCACTCACCAAGCCTTACGTGGACGAATTCAAACCTACTTTTATGGTTTACCTACACTAAGGGAGTACCCAAACCGGATGCATCTCCGCACGACCCAGGAATGCAGTTTTGCGACGGTGTATCATTCACTTTATGCCACCGTTGCACATCCGGATATGCAACGGTGGCATAAAGTGAATGATACACCGTCGCAGCTCGAGCCGCGAGCTGCTCCTTGGTGGGATCCTTATTCTTCAGCGCGGTGCGCTCGACGTACGACTACGAGCGCTCCGCCGCCTGCACCGACTCGCGGTCGCCCGCGCGGCCTTCTCGTGCTTCAGGTCGATCTCGATGGTCGCGTAGCCAGGCAATACCAGCCTGACCTTTCCGGAACGAGACTCAACAGGGCCCAAAGACGGGGGAGCGACCGGCCTAGAGCCGTAACTCAGCTCTCAGGTCTCAGGCCTCAGGCTCAGCGCTCAGGCTCAGCTCTCTTCACCAGGGCAGATTTCGCCCTCGCGGCAGACCGCACTTGTCGGTGTTTGTGTTCGAAACAGCACAACTGACCGGCCGACGCGAAACACACGACGAGGACACGACAGCCCTGAAGGTGTTGGGCGCGCAGACCGGCACAGGTGAACTGTGGCAGTAGCCTGTACCTCCCCCCTGCCCGTGCCCCCCCCCCCCCCCCGGCTCACCCACGCAAGAGACCACCCACTCTCCGCCTCTACCAGTAGTACCTGCCGCCTACCCGACTCTCCGACCGGCCGGCGGCGGCGCCCAGCGGCGGCACAACGCGCACACGCCGCAGGAGGAGTACAAAACAAAACCGGAGACGGCGGAGGGAGTCGATCGACCAGACGGCCCTTGCCGACGGCCAAAACCGATCCCCGCCTCTGCCCGCCCGCCCGCGCTGCTCTACGCGTCCTTCTACGCTTCCTTCTCGCGGCCGCTGCTGTCGCCTGCGAGCATCTTCAGCAGAGCGCGCACGATCTTGCCGCCCCAGTACAGCTGCAGGAAGGTTAGCACCTAAGGGCGCGCCGTGGTTGGCCGACGATCGGCCAATGCTCTCTCGCCCCCAGCAGAGCTGGCAGCGGCGAGGGGCGGCGGCGAGGGGCGGCGGCGAGGGCGGCGGCGAGGAAAGGCCGGCGGCGTGTAGGGCGAAGCGGACACGGCGGCGGCAACGCGGCAGTGGGGGCGGCGGTGGGGGCGGCGGTGGAGGGGGCGGTGGGGGCGGTGGCGGGGTGGCGGGGAGCGCGGTGTGGGCGGGGAGCGCCGAGCAGGTGACGCAGAAGGTAGCCATCTGCAGCTGCCCCTCCAGTTCGCCCGCCGCCCACACCGCGTACAGGTCACGCAGCAGCTGCAGCACCGCCAGCGGCCAGAGGACGCACCTAGCAGAGATTGCACGAGATTGCACGAGATTGCACGAGGTTGCACCTAGCACGAGGCGTGCCACGCCACGCACGCACGCTCTCGGCTTGCTGCAGCAACCGCCGGTGCTTCTCGGCCAGCGGCGACCGAGCTGCTACCTCCCGGCTACCTCCCGGCTACCTCCCTGCTGCCTCCCGGCTGCCTCCCTGCTGCCTCTCTGCTGCCTCTCTGCTGCCTCTCTGCTGCCTCTCTGCTGCCTCTCTGCTGCCTCTCTGCTGCCTCTCTGCTGCATCTCGGCCGCCTCTCTGCTGCCTCTCTGCTGCCTCTCTGCTGCCTCTCTGCTGCCTCTCTGCTGCCTCTCTGCTGCCTCTCGGCCGGAGGACGCACCGAATCAGGAGGAACGAGAGGGCGAAGGCGACCCGCACCGTCTCGTTGACCGAATGGCCTGCGGGCGAGGGTCAGGGCTGGGGTCAGGGTTGCGGTCAGGGTTAGGGTTGGGGTTGGGGTCAGGGTTAGGTTTGGGGTTAGGGCTAGGGTTAGAGCTAGGGTTAGGGCTAGGGTTGGGGTCAGGGTTGCGGTTAGAGCTAGGGTTCGGGCCGTCTCGTGGTCTGCGGGCGGTAAGGTGAGGTAAACTTCTCCCCACACACGGTGGAGGTGGTGTGGGGCAAGGGCCGGGCTGGTCCCTCGCGTCTCCACGTCTACGCGACAGGAGCTGGCACGGCATTCCAAGTGCGAGGCCCGGTGCGAGTGGGTGAGCGAGTGTGCCTGCGGGCGACCCCTCGTGCAATCTCGTGCAATCTCGTGCAATCTCGTGCAATCTCGTGTGCCTGCGGGCGACCCCTCGTGCAATCTCGTGCAATCTCGTGCAATCTCGTGCAATCTCGTGTGCCTGCGGGCGACCCCTCGTGCAATCTCGTGCAATCTCGTGCAATCTCGTGCAATCTCGTGTGCCTGCGGGCGACCCCTCGTGCAATCTCGTGCAATCTCGTGCAATCTCGTGCAATCTCGTGTGCCTGCGGGCGAGCCCTCGTGCAATCTCGTGCAATCTCGTGCAATCTCGTGCAATCTCGTGTGCCTGCGGGCGACCCCTCGTGCAATCTCGTGCAATCTCGTGCAATCTCGTGCAATCTCGTGTGCCTGCGGGCGACCCCTCGTGCAGCCGCGGGAACTGGCGGAAGAGGTCAACAAACACGAGCGGCAGCGACGAGACCTCGACGAAGCCGAAGAAGAATGCGGCCTGGCGCAGGAGGGGCGGGACGTGTGTGGCCGGCCTTTGGCGCTGTCTCCATCGCTCTTTGAGTCCGAACTGAGTCCGAACTACTCATGAGGCGCCTGGTACATGAGAAACGGGCCTGTTCACAGCTGGAGGTGTGAAGAGACGCCGTTCACAGCGAGACGCCCTCCTCCTCCTGGAGGGTGCCTGTTCACAGCTGGAGGTGTGAGGAGACGCCGTTCACAGCGAGACGCCCTCCTCCTCCTGGAGGGTGCCTGTTCACAGCTGCAGGTGTGAGGAGACGCCGTTCACAGCAGCCGCGGGGAGAGGAGGAGCGGGCCCGAGAGGCCACACAGCGCGGTGAGGAGGGTCATCCCGTGGTGGACCAAGTGCTCCGCCTGTGGGTTCGGTACCGTGGGGGTAGGGGATGGGTTCGGGTACTATGAGGTGGAGGGTCATCCCGTGGTGGACCAAGTGCTCCGCCTGTGGGTTCGGTACCGTGGGGGTAGGGGATGGGTTCGGGTACTATGAGGTGGAGGGTCATCCCGTGGTGGACCAAGTGCTCCGCCTGCTGGAGACACACGCACTCAGAGCCAGCCGAGGCACTCATAGCTTCACACCGTCACAGCTTCACACTGGCCACAGGAATCCGGTGTTGGGCGCGGAGCGGGCGGGAGGCGACCGCTCTGCGATCGCTCCGGGGCGAGTCCCCGGGGAGGGAGGGTCCGTGTTTGGAAGGGGGGTCCTCCTCGGTGCGCGCCTTGCGCAGCGACGGTACGATCAGGGTCACCAACAGGTCGAAGACCTACCGGAGCGAGGCACCGCGCCGGGAGCCGTCTCGGGAAGGGGAGCTGGAGGCGTCTCGGGGGCGTCTCGGCGGGCTCCGGGAAGGTTCCGGGAAGGCCCGGGAGTGCTACAGCGGGCCGGCGGACCTGAATCCCAAACATGAAGGCTCAGGGAAGGTTCCGGGAAGGTTCCGCGGGAAGGGGCTCGAGCAGACCTGCATCCCAAACATGAAGCGAGCGAGGGAGAAGGCGTCCTCGGAGGCGGCGTAGAGGCGGCCGCGCGCGTCGGCGCCCAGCGCCGCGTGCTGCTCGTCAAAGTACCACAGCCGCGTGCCGTGGTAGGCGGCGTACGCAAACGGCACCGCCGCCGTCAGCTGGTGAGCCGCCATGCCGACATCGGACGACATGGGCGACGGGACGACGTAGAGGAGGGCCATCCAGCCAAACTGCAGCACGAACAGCCCGCCCACCCACTGAAGCACCCACTCGTCCGACAGCAGCTGCAGGCACATGCGGGAGCGGCGTGAGCGGAGCGGCGGTCGTGCGGGCGCGCGCGGCCGCGGCGGCGTGTGGAGTGCGCGGGCAGCGGCGCGCGGCGCGAAGCGGGATGCGCACGTCGGATAAGCTCATGCTCGGCACGACGGCGGCCGCCGGCTGCGGAGGCGGTTTGCCCCAGGCCATTGTAATGGCCCAAACTCAGATTTGGCACCTTGAATTCTTTTTCATAGAGAGAAAGAATTTGCGCTGGGAGACGGCGGCGCGGTGAGGGAGCGGGCGACGCAAGAAGGGGCGAGGCGGCGCGACGGTGGGTAAGGCGATTATTATTTATAAATTAAGTAATTAATAATTAATAATCACCGGGCGGTGGCGCGGCGCGGCGGGCGGGCGGGGCGAAGAATTTTACAAGGAAACTCCCTCGCACAACACTGGGCACGGGACTGGCGCGCACTGGCACTAACACAGGTACACCACGGGAGCCGCCTAAGCGACTCCTGCGAGGGTGGCGAGGCACTTAGCTCCGTGCACCCGCCCACCCCCGCCACAGCCCACAGGCAAGCTCATTCACGACCTGCTCTGCGATGGCCGTGTGAAGAACGACTGAGATGCGCTGCCTCTGCAGCCCCAGCCAGCTCTTGGTGGTCCAAGTCGCCTCATCGAGGTACTGGGCCCGCGTCAGCTTGTTCTGTAGCACGTCCGCCGCCTTCCGGAGGATCTCACGGACCCCCCTCGCGAACCCGCCGAACGACTCGAACAGCAGCAGCTGCACTTCGACGCCCTTGTCTTCCCTGGCGTAGCGATAGTCCCCGCCGTAGGACGGTATGCGGCGGTCGCCGCCCACCACCCTGCCCCCCCTGGTATGCCAGCGCCCGGTCCCTTGCCCTCTCTCGCCCTTGCTCTTCCTCTCCCCCTCCATGCCGCCCCCGACGTACTACTCCACCCCCCTCCCTTTTGATGATTAGGTTATATGTACCACTCTTTTCTATTCCAAGACCTCCACGTTTACTCCTACCTGACCTGCTCCTTCTCCCTCTTCTACTTCCTCTCCTGCTCACCTTCTCTATCCTTTCCTCTCCCGGACTCCACTCTCTGGTTCTCCTCTCTGTTTATCC